TGCGAAGTTAGGCGAGATGGTGTGAGTGTGAATGTAGGTCTTGCAATGTGTGTGGAGTTAAGGTGTGGGTATATAAGTGTTATAGTGTTGATGTAGTGAATGGGTTTTAGTGTATCTGTGGGTATATGTATGATTGGTAAAATAAGCGGAGAGCAGAGCCGCATGAGCATGCATACCCAAATTCTTATCAAGACTGTTAGACACGTCGATCTCAACGGTGACACTGACATCCACACCTACCATAATGCATAGATGGGATGAGCGTTACTTATCTATGAGAAGATTTTCAATTTTGTATGAAAAAGTTCTCGTTTTTTATTATTAAATATTCTATGAAAAACTTGAAAAAAAATCTACTGATGATATGTAAATTGTATTATTTTTAACATTGATTTGTTTTATATCGATTGAGATATCGTTTTTGACTAAAACGTATCCTTCGACAAGTTTTCAAAACAAAAAAAGCAAACAGCTTCAATATAAAACAATATATGAGAAAAAAGTGTTAATAAAATAGTTTTAATCTATATTTATAGATATTTCGATATAGAAGTTGAATATATTCTTGATAGATTTAATCATTATCAACTTGAACTTTCATATAATTGATAAAGTAATTAAGACTTTTTTGGTTAGTCATATTACTTTAATGTGTCGATATCGTCAAAATCGACTCAGTTTTGATGATTAATTGTTCGAATATTCTAATAAATAGAAATTAATCAATAATTATTTCGATAATTAAGATAAATCGACGATTTTGTAACAAAGTTAAAGAGTAACTATAAATTTATCAAAAATAAACGTTTTTTTTTCTTTTATTTCGATAGATCTCGACATCAAAATGAGATGTAAGTGTTATTCATTTAAATAGTTTCTTATTAATTTCGATTAACTTCTAGAACAACATGAATCAGAAATATTATTTATATAAATAAATTCATTTTCCTGTATTCATATCAATATGAACATTAAATGAAATGTAAGTATTCTTTTATATAAAGAATTTCTTTTTTATTATTTATGGCAAATGGGAAAGAGAAAATGATCGCTGTCACCATTTAATAGAAACTTGTGTGAGTACAATGACAAATCATCGTCGTTAAAGACATTATTTGCGTCTCATTGAAAGATAGTTGGAGTCTAGATTAAAGCAATAGGAGTAGATGCGATCATTGTAAAATTTGCTTGAATAATAGCGACATTCTGTAGAAATTATGAAGAAATCGAAAAAAATCTCTATTGTGAGTGGTTTAATCGCGATATACTCTGACGATAATCGTCCTAATGAAACACGATAAAATCAACGATTTTGATGACATGAGTAGTTTCTTCCATTTCAACAAGAATGTAAATATTTCATCTATCGTTGACTATTTAAAAGATAATCACATAAAATAGTAGGAAATTTTTTAGATTTGCCATACGTTAAACAACGTTTACAGATGATAGAGTCGAAACGAATTGTTATCTTCTTGATAAAATATTGAAATATTATTTGGATAAATGTATAAAAAGATAAGATGTTTTATTAAAGATAATATTATTATTAATGTTTGCTCTATTAATCCATTAATCATTCTTTGAAATTTCTTTTCATGTTATCCATTAAATTTCTCTCTATATATATGTAAATAATGATTTTGGTTAGGTAGAAAGTCTTTAAGCTATAATTGAAGAATTATTAATTGTATATTTACTTCAACCATATTTAATCTTTATTGTTTAAATCAACATTCTAATAAATTCTAAGATATTCTTTCCATAATTTAATTTAATAGAAGATGATTTTTATCCAAACCAATTTTATTTTTCATATATAATTCTTCAGACATAACATTGAATTGTATAGACGTTATTTTTAAGAAAATAATATCTATAGTTATTATTGTTAACTTTTCATATAGTTTTTCAATATATCTTTCTATAACATAAACTCTTTTCATCCATCCAGTCTCACCAGTACTAACACTCATATCCATCTCATCGAATATTCCTTCATATTCAATTGTGACTATCGAATATCAAGATAAACCAATAACAAGTTTGTTGTTGCAAAATACAGTTTTTCGAACATTGATAATAAAAACACTGTCCCGAAAAGTAAAAGAAAATATTAAAATTAGATGAAAATAAAAGTGAGAAATCATTGAGTTCCTATTAGTCAATTAACTATATAGAATCATTTGATGAATATAGGACATATTACGAGGATTCCAAGTACAAGTAGGAAACTTGCAAATTTTGTGTGCTTGTAGAAATTTATTGTAGTCAGTGTTGATTCCATCAATACTATCGCAGCCACACATCCTCAAGATCAAACGGATTGGATTGAGAATAAAAGGTGGTATCAAAGACTTAACAGACATCTAATTGAGAACTATAATTAACTATAGAAAAGAAATAGTTTACAGTTCCTATATTAGTTTATACTACAGTAGATAGGAAACAAAGGTCAGACGATGAAAAATATTGTAGAAGTTTACATGAATTTTTTTAACAAAAACAGAATCTCGACCATTTTCATATCTTATCGAATAAAATAAGATTCAATATTTTCTGTACCCTATTACATTAGACAAATCTGACTAGAAATTCTATTGAATTATTTTATAATTGATATACGACATTGAGCATAGGAGAATGAAGAGATATTTAATTATTTTTTTTCGAAAATCCAATATTTATTTATAATTCTCGTTTGAGAAAATCTCATTTATGATTATTTTTTTAAAAAAGTGAAATTGTACACATCTCAATGTAATATCGTATTAATATATGATAAAAATAAAGAATCAATATCGAGATTTTATTAGTTTTAAATGAGAAAATTAAAAAATGATATTCTGGATATGATCATGATTCTCATCTTGACAGATACATTCACACTCTCGAAATATCTATTCAAGGAAATATTTGCTTTTTTATTTTATATACATATGTAACAAGTTTAAAAAATTGATAATGAAAGTAAAATTTTGGATCTATTTCTCAATTGATTATATGTAATTATTGATCGATCTGTAGATAAATAAATAATTTAGTCAATATGAAAGTGATTAATGATAATAAAGAATTGTTCAAGTGAGAAGAAATCGAAGTTAAAGATTTGTTATAGATCGAAATAAGCTCTACATATAAAATAAATTCAATATTTAATTTCGAATTTATTTTTTATTTGTTAAATCAATTTGTGATCTTTATTAAATATTGTTCGTCTTTTTGATGAAAATAAGCTAACATGGTTTTTTTTGTTGATTATGATAAATAGAAAAGAAAATATTTGTTTGAGAGAGAGAGAAAAAAAGTGTAAGTGAAATGTTGAAAAAATGGAATATTGAAATATATATAAAGAGAAAATAGTTTATTTAACAAAAGAAAAAAAGAAAATTATTTTTTAAGTGCATGTTCAGCATGCCAAAGAGCTCTTTTATAATAAAATTCCATAGCTTTAAGTCCTTGAAATTTATCTCTTTGATGAATATATTGCCAATAAATAAAAGTAAAATCTTCAATAGCACATAAAATAATTTCATCAACAATTAATTGAAAAACTTCTTGTTCAGTTTGTGATGAAACTCTTGCTGTACCTCCAGACATTTGTTTCATATATTCTTCAATAAAAATTCTCATTCTATCAACATCAGTTATTATTGATGGTGATGATGATGTACAAAATGTTGATAAACAAACAGCAAGATCACGCCATAATGTATCATGATTAACATTTTCAAAATCTAATAGAGCTATAACACGATTATCACGTGACCAAACAACTTTACTTGGACGAAGATTTCGATGAATTGGATAACTACGAATTATATTCGTTTTTTGTTGACGAGATAATGAATCACGTAATAATCGACATAATAATGGATAACATCCGATAAAATATTGACTTACTATATCTATTCCACTTGTTGTTGTTGGCGATGTTGTTATCGTTGTTGTTGATAATGAAGATTGAGGAATTCCATCCTAAATTTATTTTAAAACTAAAATTAAAAACAAACTTATTGTTTATTTACAGCAGCTTGTTTAAGTTCATCAAGAAGATGTTCTCTAGTTGTACTTCTTTTATTAGTTGCTAATGATGGTGAATGTGTCATTAAAAATTGATGATATTTTGATATTAATTTAGCTAATGAAATAAGTTCTTTTTCATCAAATAAATGTGATGTATCATTATCGGCATAAACTTTTCCATCAATAAATTCATATAACCAATATCTTCCATTTGCATGATTTTGTCCTGTTACTGTTGATATTGGTACTGGTACACGATATTCATTTGATAAAAATCTATTTAAATCAATTAAATATTGAAGTTCAAAATCAAGTGAATTTGTTGATATTGATGATGCACTTTTTAATACATATGATAAACCACCTGTTGATGATATTAACCAATTACGTGTTGATAATTTTGATAATGTTATTGGTGTTGTTGGATCTATTGATGCAAATAAATGAGGCCAATGACATGATAATATATGTTCTAAATCTTCAGGATTTTCCATTTTATATTGAACGTTTTTATTAGCGATATTTTAACATCTAAAATTTTATTTTTTATCTATTTTAAATCAAAACCAAAAACCCAAAAAAAGGAAAAAATTTTATTTTTATCACTAAAAATCTGTTAAATAAACTCGTTAAAACAAAAAAATTCGATACTAGTTCGCTTTAGACATAAATCGAGAACAGGAAAGAAAATGTATTCGTTGAAAAATTTGACCAACGAAAAGAATGAAATGAACAAAAAGAAAAGAAAATGATAGAAATTATTATAGATGACCACGATAGATGACAGTGATATATTGAGTATCATTTTTTTCTTTCATCGTATGTCACTGTCATCTATGACAGCCATCTATAATTTTTATCGTTTATTTCATTTTCTTTCATTCCTCTCTTTTCGTTGGTTACACTTTTCAACAAATGCATTTTCTTTCCTGTTCTCGATTATGTCTAAAGTGAGCTAGTGCCAAAAATTCTTTTTAAATAAATTTAATGCCTTGGGCCAATGGAAGTTCTTTTGAATAATTTATTGTGCTAGGAGATTTTAAAATAAAAAAAAACACCAATTTATTTATTAGAATTATATTTAAAAAAAAACAAGGCAACATACCAGGTCGATCGTCTCATATATTGTTTCCATGCATCGGAACCTGATTCTCTTCCACCACCTGTATGTTTTTCTCCACCAAAAGCACCACCTATTTCAGCTCCACTTGTTGGAATGTTAACATTAACCTTTTAAAATAAAAAAGTTTTAAACGAAAAAAAAACTGAAATTTAAAATACAATTCCACAATCAGATCCATTGGGACCAGTCCATTTAAATAAATATTCTGGATTAGTCGTAAATATTGAACTTGATAAACCTTGATTAACTTCATTATTCCATTGAACAGCGTCTTCAAATGTCTTTTAAATAATAAAATAATAAAAATAAGTAAGACAGTAAATATTTACTTTGCATTTCAAAACATAAAGAATAGGTGCAAATGTTTCTTGATGAACAATAGGAGAATCATGTTTAAGTTGTGTAACAATTGTTGGTTGAACATAATTTCCTTGACGTTGCTTATAAACTTGATCTCCATAAAGAATTTTTCCTCCATTTTTTTTAACTTGTTCCAATGCTTTTTCATATAATTGAACAGATTGCTTTGTATGTAATGGTCCATAAAGAACATTTTCTTCAAATGGTTCACCTATTCGAGATTCAATTTGTTCATATGCACGAACAAGACGAGTTAATACTTCATCATAAATTCCTTCTTGAACAATCTTATTTAAAAATAAATAATTAGATTAATTTTTTTTAAATAAAAAAAAAAGTATACAAGACGTCTTGCCGTAGTACATCTTTGTCCAGCTGTTCCAACAGCAGCAAAAAAGACAGCAGGAATAGCCAAATTAAGATCAGCATCATCCATAACGATAATAGCATTATTTCCACCTAATTCAAGAATTGTTTTACCAAAACGTTCTTGAACTGTTAAAGCAACTTGTTTTCCAACTTGAGTTGAACCAGTAAATGAAACAAGTGGAATTCGTTTATCTTTACATATTGATATTCCAATATCAGATCCTCCACATATTAATGATGATAAACCACCTGGTAAACCATTACGTGATAAAACACGTTCAACTATTTTTGTTGTTGCTATACTTGTTAAAGGAGTTGTTGGAGCACCTTTCCTATATTGTTTTTTTTTCTAGGATTAGTTTTTTTCTTTTAAATGAATTTCTTCTTACCAAAGTGTAACATTTCCACAAGTAAGAGCAATAGCTTGATTCCATCCAAAAACAGCACAAGGAAAATTAAATGCTGTTATTACACCAATTATTCCTAATGGATTCCATTGTTCCATTAATATATGACCAGGACCTTTTGTTTTTCTTTTTAAAAATTAAAAAAAAATTTTTTTTCTTTTTCTAAACTTACGTTCTGAAGGTAAAACTTTTCCTTCAAACATTCTTGAAAGTCCAACAGCATAATCACAAATATCAATAAATTCTTGAACTTCTCCAACACCTTCAGGAAGAATTTTTCCCATTTCCATTGAAATCTATTTTATATTATTTATTAATTCAAAGAAGAATATTTAAAAAAAACTAAAAGATGACGAACTAATTTTCCAAGTGATTGAAGATTTTTTCTTAATTCATCACCAATTTGTCTGACAATATCACCTCTTTTAGGTGCTGGAATAGTTGACCAATATTGAAAAGCTTTTGCAGATGATTCAACAATTCTATTATAATCATCTTGAGAACCTTGACGAACACGTGCTATTGGTTCGTTTGTTGATGGACTTATTGAATCAATTACCTTTAACAAATTTTTTTTCTTTTTATTAACGATTATATGAAAAAATAAGAAAAAAGACGAACTTCTCCATTTGCAAACCATTTTCCATCGAAAACACCTAAATTTTCTTCTTCTAACCCCAAATCCGTAAAAAAAGGTTTATAAATTGAATTTGATATTAAATATTTTGAAGATTGATTTGAAGCCATTCTGCGAAAAATCAAATCTATATTATAATTTTTATGTTTTATTAAACGACGAACTAAAATAGGAACAATCATATTCAATATTTTTTTTCAACTCTCAATGAGAACGAGAACAACAAAACAGCTGGTTTGCTTTATTCATAATACATTCTCATTGGTTGTTTTAATAACTAATCTTTTATCAGCATAAACAAAAAAAAAATTTCCGATTTATTTCACTGATTACTATTGTTATTTTTTGTTTATTTATATAAGAATAGATTATATAAATAATATCATCTTAACATTAGTGACATCTACATTAATTAGAACTTTTTTTTAACAATTTCTCAATTTTTATAGAACTTCATTTTCTTCGAAAAATGGAAAAAAAACAAAAACTGAATTGTTAACGTTGAAATCTTAATAAAGTCTTCGATTTAAATTCACATTGACGTTTAATTGTTTTCTTCATCGAAATTATTCGATGAAACAATGTATAACTAATAGACACTATACTGGTAGGAACTCTAATCTGACAAACTATAGTGGAATAACCGAGTGAAACAACAATTGGAATTGACTTGATATCCTAGGGAAGGTACTTGGGTTCTCATATGCCTATCTGGGGAAGAGTCTTGGATTTTCAAGTCCTATAATATGGAAGTATCCTTAGGTCCTCATCTCCTACTATATGAAGGTAGCCTGAGTCCTCAAGTCCTATTATATGAAGGTACCATTAGGTGCTCAAGTCCAGACTTCTGCAAAATGGTCACGATCACGGTCACGATTTTTCGTGACCGTGACGAGTTTTCGAAAAATTGCTGTGACTGAGATCGTGACTTAAGAGTGAAAAATTTTGATATTAAAAGTTTGATACGTGTGAAAAAAAATCAAGATTTTAATTGATTTACGGGTTTACTTTGTTTTATTACAGGGGAAATCTAAGAAATCATTTTAAATCTTGATCTTGCAGCATAAAAATTCAGCTAGTAATCCAAAATTTCCGTGGCTGTGACGTGACCGTGACTAGTTTCGAAAAATCTCCGTGACTATGAACGTGACCGTGACGTGACTGAAAAATCGTGTTCACGCAGAAGTCAACTCGAGTCCTATCCCATCGAGGTTCCCTTGGGTCCTCATGTCCTATTATATACAGGTACTCTTGAGTCCTCAAATCCTATTACATACAAGTACTCTTGGGTACTCAAGTCCTATTACATACAAGTACTCTTGGGTACTCAAGTCCTATTA